CCCCCCCCCCCCCCCCCAACTTTCTCCCACCAAAGCCCAAAAAACTGGAGGCTTTAGCTCTTCCATTCTTAGGTTTCCATTCTTTGCCAGCTCTCAGATGGAGAATGGCAAAGGGAAAAGCAAACACCAGCACTTTAGCCAAACTGTGCATTCTCCAAAGCGGAGGCAGTTTCAGCTCACTAGGAAAAGAAAACCATGAAAATACTCCCTGGGCTGTTCTGCATTTTACTACGTTAAGTGGCAAATGTGATCAAAAGCCAATTTGGAATCTGAAAGCCTTTACTAAAAACTTTGTGAAATCCAGGAGATGTTTCTACCCTGCAAGCCTTATGAAACAGGCTTGTTTTAGATGTTTTCAATTCTTAAATCTGACCTTGAGCACAGTTGGGCTAGGGACAGACATTCAAAAATCCTGAGCCTGAATTGATTCAATCTTTGCAGGTTAGTCTAACCTGGCTAGGCTGAATCAGTTTGTAAATGTGAAGACATCTCCTCTGGACTGAAGAAATGCAGGCATATGCCTGCAGTGGCTCAGGTTAGAAGCTGGGGGGGTGTCAGAGCAGCCCTCCCTTCCCTTCCTCAGTGCTGAGCTGGGGGGGGGGCATGGCCAAACCTCAGCAGGAGCTCTGATTAGGGAGGGCCTCCCCCGACACCCTGCTGCTCCTGACCAGGGAGGGAGCCAGCAAGGAGTTGATAATAGAGCATTTATCAGCCCATCAGAAAAACAAAAGTCTCCCTCATTAGTTCAAGCTCTTCTTAAACAGCTTTTTCCAAGGCAGGAATGGAAGGACATTACCAGCTGAGCTGTTGATTAGCTCCAAAAAATCCCTAAGCGGACACTGTCTTGTCTGCCTTTCCTGTCTGCCTTACACAGACACCCCTCAGCATTAGCTAGATTATGGTCTGTGCTGTGGGAGAGGGCAAGGGGCAATCCCTGCTTGAGCAGGGAGTGGTGTGGGGTGGATGGAGCAGGTAGAAGCCAGGCAGACACTGCTGAGCCTGCCACCTTTGCTCCAGAGCAGGGCTGGCCCCACCCTGCTGCTCCCTGGCTGGAGCTCCAGCAGAGAGCACAGTCCAGGGCTGCAAAGCAGATGGGATGCTGGGGGACTCTGGTTGAAGTTAAACCAGGAAGGAGTCTGGGACAGACATTGCATAAAACAGTTTAACCCAAATCAGTTAAGTCTACGCTCAATTAGGCTCATCTCAAACCAGTTTCAGCCATTTTCAAACTGGTTTATGTGCACTGAACATCTGTTCTGTTACAGGTTTATACCAGTTTCTGGTCACTTAAACCACTTTGTGTGTACTATCTGTCCCTAGCCTCGGGGGTCACAACAAAGCTAATGCTGCTATTTCCCAGTGGGTTTGGGGCTGAGGCACAGACTGCTAACCAGTTACTGCTGGATTATATTAGTGTTTCAGTCCCTAACGTATCTGGCCATGCCCACAAGATGACTCCACCTCTCCACACACTGCCATCAGGGCAATGGAGGAATCAGCACTAAGTAACCCACACTAAACCACTTCTGAGTAATTTGGATTTACTGGGCAGTGTTTCCTAAGTAACTTACGGCTTATCCATGCATTTAGTCTTCTGCGTTATGTTGACTTGGTTTTCAATTACTTTCCTTATTCAAAACTATCTGTGCAATAGGTCAGCAATCCAGATGTCCCAAATGAGCGTTACATCTGTGTTGCAGAGGCAAGAGGGAGGAGGCCATGCTCCCTGCATGGCAGGTGGTACAGACCCAGAGCTCTGTTGTGAAGTAATTAATATGTTTGCTTCCAGGGTCAGTGAGTTAGAATGACACTGAGCTGTTCTGCCTCCTCCCGGGCTCCAACAGCCTGCTTCTGAACCCTGGCAATAGGAACATGTTTATTTTTTCATGATTTGTAGCTTGGTGTCTCGGCTCTACCAGCCATTTCCAGTAACTTCACGGTAATGCTGCTGTGCTTGTAGCACAGAACAACGGTTGAGGCCACTGCAGCTTGGCGATTTAAAAATGAAATGTACATCCTCTTTATTTTGTAGTAATACACTGTAATTGCTTTACAGAGTCCAGCATACCAGTTGCATGTAAATACTACAGATGAACTTGTCAAACTGGAGCTCACAAAACTAGTGCATTTATCCCAAAGCAAAGACTAAACCCTCTACCTCTTTAAAAAAATACATTAAAGAACGTACCACACACACATATTGCACTTTTCTCCATATGAAATTTTTACCCCATATACATCTCACCAAAGTCTCTTCAAAGGAGCCTGTAATACAAGATAATAAAGCTAATAATTACTATACAGTAGTATACACCATCCTCTAATGTTAGACACAACAGACTTGAACAAAAGAGTCATTTCAAAGCAGCGTGAATACAAGGAACAGTGCCCAATGGATACTCTAGTGTGGTATTAGAAGTCTCGTGCTCTAACTGGCTTGAAGGAAACGAAAGGAAATGGTAAGGAGGTTGTTGGCTGAGGGACAGTCACCTAAGCTACTTCTTATTCATTGCATTTGCCAGTTTGAGCTCCCCAAATACCTGCATTGGGAGGCTCAAATCAATCTGAATTGGGACTCTCTGGGAAAGGAATAACTGGCGTGGCTTGATCTGTGCCCCGATGCCCAATCCACCTCAGCCTGCCATACGCGTGGCTTGTCTGGGCTGTAGCTGTGTCATGGAAAGAGCGATGAAAGGGGCAAGCTATTTGGTAACCTCACTCCCCCGGCAGCAGGGACTCTAGAGATGTCCCATGTGCCCTCCCCACAGCTGGCTCTGTGCCTCCCTGGGCTGGCATTTCCAGAGGCTGAGCTAAGGTTTAATTAGGAGGCCCTTGGTTGCTACCTGTTTTCCTTTGCATGGTAGCTTGCTGTGGTGAGGTGCTTGGTTTTTGGCCCCTGCTGCGTGGCTGCCAGTTCACAAGGGGCTAGCAGAGTGCAGGCTTCCCTAGGGGCTGTTCTTTGGGCACGTGAAGTCTCTTCAGCTGTTCGGTGCTTTCTCAGCCAGCTCGTTCAGGCTGAGGGCAGGGGCCAGGCAAAAGGCGCTTATGCACACTACGTCAAGTCCCTTGAATCCTTCAGGCCAACTGCTGAACCCTGCCGGACCTGGACTACTGGCGGTCCCCTCGGCACGAAGGGGCAGTGGACACGCTCACCTGGTGAGGTACCTGTGCTTCACGTGATCACCCAGGGGCTCAAATTTCCCACCAGTAATGTCTCTCAAAGTGCTGGGTATCAGAGGTGACTCCCAAGTCCTGGCTGAACAAATCTGATTGCGGCACAAGTGGATGAGTGACTAATACTACATGATGGGCTGTATCCGGAGGAAGTGCCAGTTAAATTTTAGCCTAGTAGGATGAGGCAACTGCTGCCAGCTGTGTCGGCCCTTTCCCTTTCAAAGCTGAGGGTGATGCAGTCACTGGATACTTACCCTTGATTGTGTATGTAAAGTACTGCGTTATTGCTCTGTGTGCTGGCTGATTGTTCACGTCTCCAGTGAAGGGAAAGGCAGCTTTTCTGCAGCCTGACCTGTGCTGACTTGGAGGCTTTATTGGATATCTCTACTTCTAACCATCCCAGGCCCATCTCAGCCTAGCAGGAATTCTTTCCCTCCAGCAGCAACTCAAGTCAATGCTTTGGTGTGTGATGAGCAAACAGTAGGGTCTCTCCATGACACAATTTGAAGCGATCAACCCACCCCCAAAGTCCAAGGTCTGAATGTGGGAACTTGCAATAAGACTTTGGTTTCAGAGCAAAGTCAGAGGCAGTGTTGAAATCTGTGCGGTGATGGGTAGAAGTGGAGCTGCCAGCATCCTTCTGACTGAGGAGCTCAGCTTGTGGAACCTAACACAAAGGGGAAAGTTTCCAGCTAAGGGGCGGTATTCCCCATCAGCAGGGTCAGTGCAGATTTGCCACTGTTTTTTGTGCTTTAGTGAACCTGTGTTGTGCTTAATGTGTTCATCTGCTCAGAAAAGGGCTTCATTCTAGGGCTGGCAGAAGCTCTCTGCTATTTGCATCTGGTTGAAATAGGCCTGTAGCTGGGACTGCTTCTGGAGGAAGAGTCGTTTCTGGTGCAGCCTGAACCAAGGACATCAAGAGTCACTACTTTTCAGCCTTTCAAGTGACAATACCCCCAGTGACCGACCCACCCCAAGGGTGGGCAATCAGGCAGAGATGTCTGATTCTCCTCCGATAGCGTCCCGTGGTATTTTCAACACTTTAGTAATAAATCCCAAGTTACAGGATTGGCTGTAGCCTTTCTCTGGATTTCAAACGTGCCCGCCTGGCATCTGGCGTGTTGTGAGCTGCGCAGATTTGGAGACTTGCGCTTGCTCGGCTTGAGTATCTGTTGAAATGGTTAGTACATCAAGAGTTCTCGTCACTAAATATTGCTGTAATATTTTTAACATTTCATATATGTACATATGAGCAATCAAAACGTGAAGTTAAACACTGTTCCACATGGTGGAACACATGCTCTGAAGGGACTTTGGCTGTAGCATGGATATAAATGGGGTATTGTCTACTTTCTTCAGAAAAAAAAGCATATAGTCTGATAAAGAACCCAAAAAGGCACAGCACTATCACTTCACATGGGTTTTTTTTTTCTTTTTAAGCTCGTTGGTTTGTCCTTAAGTTCTAAAACCCTAAATACTTGTCCAAATATACAAAGCTTAATAAACCACCAGCAACGTATACTGTAAATTCAAAACACAGTTATTTTTAAAAAGCAACAAAGGACAGATGTCTCCTTTCTCGTGGCCAGAGCTACTCCAAGACCAAGGTCTCCACAAGAGGTTGTCTGCAAAAAGGGCTGGTTTTTAATGCTGCCCTGGCTGACTTCTTTGTCATTTGCTGAAGTTCTAGTTCTTTTCTTGGTACCTTCTTCCTCTTTCCACATTGTGGCAGTTCCTGCACCTCATCAGGAGGTCTCTCAAAACACCGCAGAGCTTCAAGTCAGATCCAGGTATCTTTTCACTAGGTCAGTGTGTGTGTGTGTATATTTTGTGTGTTAAAAATCTGGAAACTTCCCATGATGGGCAATTAGGAGTTTCTTGGCAAGTTTGGGAAAAAAACTTATTTGCTAGCAGGAGGATGTGGAGATGCCTGGTGTTTTCTGAGACTTGCTAAAGACTAGTTCAAGATCAGTAGCTTACAACCAGCAATCCAAAGCCAAAGTACAACTTTCCTTGAAGTCCACCACGCACACGTTTCAAGAGCTCTTGAGTTGCCATCAAGATACCAAAGTCTTTGCTGTGTTTTAATGAAAACTATTGCTTTTATTGCCAAGAAGTACAATGCAATATGCATTCATTCTCCTTACTTTTACAGGATTTTTACCAGGTTTGTTCTGGTAGTAGGTGGACGCTAGCAGAGTGTCCAATTTTTTCGGAAGGGCCTGTTTTCCTCCTTCCTAAAGATGCATTTTGTCATCTTATCTGCAAACTGGTTCTTGGTCTGACCAAGTCGCACCCTCTGTCTCCAGCCTCTGCCACAAGGTTTCTGCGATGGGGCACTGACTACATGCCCTTAGCCATCCCCTGCTTGTAGCAAGCAGGTGGTTTTATAGCTCCTCCACTAGGGTCAAAGGTTGGAAAATAAGCCATGAATTTTTGGGGTTGGAACAAAAATGAAAATTCACATGCTTTTCCCTTCGCTTCTCCCGCTTTCCATTCTCAAGCGAACTGCAGGGCAACTAATTCACCAAGACGTAGCCACTGTGTTGAGGGTCAACAGTCTCCATCATTTCACAATCAAAGAGTCCGGGCAGCTCTGAGAGGGCTAACGCTTCGTAGCTGGACTGCGACTCGTGAGACGCTGAGCTCCTCTGGGTGTCGGGCAATGCTACACTGCTCTGCTGTGCTGGGTCCATGGAATACTGGCACTGGTTTGAGTAGTCTGGCTCAGAAGAGGTGACGCCTGGCAATTCGCAAGTCTGATAAGGATATTGTAAGGACTGTGGCTGCTGCACTTGAATTGGTGACTGCAGCCGTGGCGAGCTGGGCATTGGTGATGGTGGCAACTGCTCCAGCTGTAGTTTCTGGTATTGGCTAAGGAAAGGGTCATATTGCATTTGTTCTGAGGAAGGCTCCATTACGGGGCTCAAGGGCTGCTGGAGGCTGAACTGTGGTGGTTGCTGCTGCTCCTCCTGGCACGGAAGGGGCAGCTGACTTGACCTTGGGTAGGAGCTCTCTGCTATTTGCATCTGGTTGAAATACGCCTGTAGCTGAGACTGCTTCTGGAGGAAGAGTCGCTTCTGATGCAGCCTGAACCAAGGACATCAAGAGTCACTACTTTTCAGCTTTTCAAGTGACAATACCCTCGGTGACCGACCCACCCCCGCCAGTCACCCCAACACCCCGCGTCTCCCCGGTGGTTCCGTAACCTTTGACAAAGCAAATCCCTGCCCCCCAGCCCTCTAAATGCCAGGTTGCTCTCATTTACAATTAGCTTGTCTAACTGCACATTGCTAATCAGGATGCACAGGAGGCTTTTCTCTCTTCAGCAAAGGTGAGGAGAGCAGCATGCAGCAGTGAGGTCTTTTTTTTTTTAAGCCTTCTGCAAGGTATACAATTTCCCCCTACTCTGTTAAAATTACACTGTGCTGGTCCAATAAATGAACCCAGTGCATTGTGGGGTACTATATATCTGTTTTTTAATTGTGTGCTACTCGCTGAACAGCAGTTCTCAGGAACTGAAGTTCAGTCTCCACAGTTGCTAGTGTGAATTAGTGCAGTTACCCTGTGATCTGTTTAGTGAACTGCATCTTCCCTACGGATTTTAATGACGCTTCCGTGCTCTTCGCATCCTGCTGCAGGCAGGATTTACAGCACAGTGCGGCTACACCGGAGGTAAACTTACCATTCCAGCAGCAGTGGCCTCGAACACACCAAACTGCTCTCAGCAGGCTGCCTCCTATGCTGGAAGCAGTGTAGCCACCTCTGTGCGGGCGGGCTAATTAGCCTAGTGTTGACTAATTGGCACTATCACTCAGCAGTACTAATTAGTCTGTCTCAAGTCCCACGTGCAGGTTGCTGCACTACCAGGGATGGTAACTTTACTGTATATGCGTGGCCTGTGAGTCTTATTTTGCAGCTATGTTTGGCAGACTCCCAAGATGCCAAAAACAATGAGATCTCAAACCGAGCCACGCGGTTCCTAGTGTGTCCTGGAAGAGGAAGTCTGTTCCCAACTAGGGCCCACCCCATCAAGGAAAGAGGACACCTGCATGGGGCTGTGGTTTAACTATTCTGGAAGCTAATGATGGGCTGGGAGCCCTTCTCTCTAGCATGCAAGCAGAAGTCCATGTTCTTCCCCAAGTAGGAGGCACGGATGGCCACTCCTGCCACGGCAGGGACCTCCAGATCACTTCACTCGAAAAGAGCAAGTACAGTTTTAATGCCTTCCACCTATCCAAGTCCCTGAGTCTATTCTGATTTTAACAGTCAAATTTAACTCCTGGGTTTAATGCTTTTCTCTCATGTTGTGCTCCTTTCACGCAGCAGTCAAAGCTGCTATGATGCTATGCTTCCATTATTGCATGTATGGTTTTTATTCAAGTATCTGCTTGGCGTAAGTACTCTTTTTGGTTTGGCAAACTTAAACCATACAGAGAAAACTGATGGTAACCAACAAAAATAAGTGAAAGAAAAGCTTTTTGAGATTTGTAATGAAGAGACAAGGGTTGTAGTATTGTAACAGGCAGGAGGACAGTGTCCTTCTATATTGACTGCAACAGCATGACAACTTATGGGAATTCTTTGTCTTTTCTCTGCAGTAAAACTATCTTGTCACAGACAATAATCAAGGGACACCAGGAATCCTGAGGGCTGAGACAGACTTCAACCATGTTCCAAGTTGCTGTAAATAAACAGACGAAGATCTGCGACTCAAGCTAAAAACAGGGGTATGGCAACGCAGGTATTAGGGTAGCCCTTGAGTAGTGTCTCTGTTCTCCAGTCAAAGCCAAACACACCTTCTCCCCCCAACACTTTTTTTAGTCGTCATTTTTTTGCTGAATCAGTCTTGTGGGCCTGTGCATTACAGAAATACCATTGTGGCTAATCTGTTTAATGCTTGCCCACGTACCCCCATTGCCTATGAACAAAGAGGTTCCTAATGCACAGCCAAACTTGCCCTTCTGTCAGGAACTGTGTTCCTGAAGGCCTTGGGATTCCCCTGTGAGTGTCCCCTGTTACTCCTGGGTGTACGCTGCATGCAAAATCCATGGTCCTTGTCCTCACCTGTGTTCCTGTAACTGCTGTTCCAAGCTTCGGGGGAGTTCTTTGCAGTACAGCTGGCAAGTGTTTTGGGCTTTGGAGAGCAGGCTGGATTTCTGTAAGGGCACCAAGGATTATTACTGGAGGGGTGATACTAAGTGCATTGGTTCTTGAATGCCCTTGAATCCAGGAGGAGACCAAACTGAATGAAAGGCTCAGCTGTATCACATTGCAGTGTATGAATTCTGGGCTCACATTCTCAAAGAGATTGCACCAATCTTGACATTGCAACTGAAGATACTAAGCAGTGGCTGAAAACCTGAGTGCTGATCAGGAATAAGGGTCGTCTAGTAGTAGCACCACACACCTGTAACTAAACAACTCTCAAGTTAAGTAATCTGTGCTACAATTTAAATCCACAGCAGGAGCAGGTGCTCTGCCCCCCTGAAAATTAAGTCCCGCATCTCAAAAATGGGCACCCCAAAAACAGCACCACCCCATATTAGAGCACATGCAAAAAAAGAAAAGAAGGCTGCCAACTGCCCTTTCTAGATCTTAAAGGTTCCACAAACAGTCAAGTAGCTTGTCATGAATTTAAAATAGCTTCTGAGTGTGCTTTTGTGTAGATATTTATCAGACAAGTGGCAAAAGATTATTATTTTTTTTAAACAGAACTTGGGTTCTTAAAGGAAAGCAGCAAAAATAAAGAGGAATTATCAACTGAGACAGACAGAGGTCAGAGACTCAGGATGTTTCAAAGGCCAGATCCTGGAGCACTTTAAGAGACTAATTATAAAAGAATGGTTACTGAAGTGCTGCTACTTGCAGTTCCTCCTGCGAGCACCATATCAGTAAGGGACTGAGAGGGAAGGCAGCAGCAGCCAAGCGGAGATGCATCTTTAACTGGGCTTGCTTTACTAGTGGGTAACCTGCTACTTTATTTTTTTCCCCCCTTTTTCTCACTGAGAACTGCAGCAACTCTCAGGCCGGATGGCTGCACAGTACCAAAAGCTGGGCTGCCACTGTGAAGCTGTCGTACCTGGAGTCTGTGCTGAAGGTATTGCGTCTCCAAGCTCTGCCGTCTGGATAGTAATTGGGGGTGTACACCATTAGGAAATGCCGAGACAGGGTCCTGCTGCTGTGATGTTTCCTCCTGGGAAGAGAAGTGAGGATAAAAAAAGACACAGGTAAACAATCGCAGACTCAAGCTAAATTTTCTGTGAAAGCCCTTTAAGGAGCAGCATACAGAGCCTTAGCTACTGTGATGGGGGCTCCAGTGTCACTGCCCTGCTGTGCTTGTTCACTGCTCTTGTAGCAGAAAAGATAAAGCCAGCAGGTCTCCTCCCTGTCATGTACAGAAGGCTTGTAGCTGCCTAGATTGAGACATGCAAAACGTTTTCTGGCACGGGGACAAAAGTCAGGCTGACCCCATGACTGTGTCTGACCCCAGTGCAGTGCCCTTGCCTCACTCTAACACCACAGACAAAAAGCTTTTTGATGGGAGCGGAGTGGGGTTGTGCATACAGGAGGCACTGCCAATTGACAAGAGGGCTGCTGACACAGCTGGGGAGCAAATGGCTGTCAACACACCAGCTCCATGAGCTTCACAGTGTCATACCCCTAGCAAGAGAGTCTTCTGAAAGCTTTCTGCATCTGGGGAGCGGCACCTTCTCACCTCTTCCCCCCCCGCCCCGCATTTGCTGCCACGCTGAGGGCTTTTCGGTATTGCAAGGGTAGGAACACTCTGCAAGGCAGACAATAGGTCCTATCAAATTATTCGATTCCTGGCAGCAGAACGAGGGAGAGCTCTGTTACACTAACTGCCTCCTGTTTCATTACAAAGAGGCAGCTAAGGGCCAATGGCAAAATAAAATCAAATGCAAGGCCAAGAGCTGAAGCCCCCTTGCCATGCTTAAAATGGCCGTTTGAGTTGTGTGCTCATTCATGCCAGCAGCAGCGCAGGGTCAAGTCCTGTATGGTTCTGTGCACATTGCAGACTACAAACCGAAAAAGGGCTGCAAGTCAGGAAGCTAAGAGCAGCCCCATAAGGCTGGCAAACACCAAACCACAAAAACTGAAGTGTTTACCAATGAGGGACAGAAGGGGGAATTGTAAGCACTAAATCCATTTCTTTCATCGCATGCTTGGTGCCTTGTATAGGACCAGCTCCTTGTGGCTTGTACAGCACCGTGCGCAGTCTAAACAGTTGTGTACCTGGGGGGGACTATTCACAAGGTCCTGCAAATGCGCAGCAGTTGATGTCAGGTTGGCCTCTTCCTCTGATCCCATCTGTTCATAGAGCAGCTGGACTTTATTCAGCTCCAAGATTCCTTTGGTTCGTGCCAGATTCTGAAGGTGCTGTCTGAATGCTACAATTCCTGGATGGAAATCAAGCAAAACAAGACCAGAGGAGACGCTACCGATAGTCCGTCAGCGCAGCTCAGTCACAGCCCCAGCTTGGGAAGTGAAATAACGAGGCACGCGCAGCCCCACGGTTGGGCAGGACTCCTGACGGAACAAGGGCAATAGTTACCTTGCGTGAGAGACGTGTCGGAGGCTCTGCGCCCCTCTCGGAAGCTGACGGGGGAGCGGTTGTGAGCCTCGCGTTTTTGGGAGGTCAGCGCCTGCATGGCTGGATTGGCAGGTCTCAGGCCTATGAAAGGGGGGGTCATTCTAGGCGCTGGCTGGTTGGCCAGCACCATTTCCTTCAGGGACGGGGTGTCCTCCAGGAAGTTGAGGTCCCTCTGAATGGAGCCCATGTCGTACTCGGAGTCGATGCTGCCCAAAGACTGGTTCTCATCTAAAGAGAAGACTTTCCCTTTGAGAAACAACAAAGGCAGGATTAAATGGAAAGTCCTGTAATTTAGCAAAGCAAAGGAAGTGCCACAGGCTTCAGCAGTTCCCATCAGCTGTGTCTCCTGCGACTGCCTCAGAGGAAATGGAACAAAACCCACCAGCTTTATAAACAAAGTGACTTAAATTATTTAACACTTCCCATGCTGGAGTGGGTCACACCACCCTGCTGCTGATCCTGGGAGGGAAGACGCTTGTTTAGAGAGGAGACGCAGCTTTCCAGTCGGCCATTACCCCCGAATGCTCTGCAGACGACATAGCACTGACACCTGCCATTGAAATACAGCCATCTCTGGGGCAGAGCACAGCAGCTGCTGCACAGGCACGGCCCACAACTCTCTGGGCGAAGAACAGAATTGCACATCCAGGAGAAGTGGCAGTGAGAGGGGAGAGAGGCAGGACAAAGTGACCTGAACTGGGATGTGGGGGAGGCAGTGAGAGAACAGCCCACCTCTTGCAAGAAAGGCAACAAAATCTTGGCTGGCACAGGGGGAAGTGGACTTGGCTGTAGAAAGCTTAGCAGCAGCACACCCAGGAGCTGGCTCCGCACTGCTGATTCTGGTAGACATCCCCAGTGCTGCCTCCTGCTCACACTGTTTCCCAAGGGACTTCCACTCCAGTCCTGGCCAGGTGCCACTGAAGCTGGGACAGGTGACTGGCCTATGCCCCAAACTGACATGGCTGCATCATCTCATTGGCACTACGGTATCAAAGATACTAGCAGGGACTTCTAGATTCTTTGTAGGGACTTCTAACAGCAAGGAATTAAGTATTTTGAGAAAATTAATTGTGCCAAAAATACCTAGATTTAAGCCGCCTGGTATTCTTCATTCTCTGCTCACTGCCACTAGGATGGGATTGTGTTTGCATGAGCCAGGTGTGAATTTGCTCCCTTTTTGCCTCTATGTTAACCAACAAACAGTGTTGCTTCTCATGCCCATCCCTAGCATCACTGGGATACAAGCCAAACTAGTGTCCATCCAGAACTTGAGAGCCTGAGTGATGTTAGAGTCTGAATCGGAGACTGACAGCGGTCTTTGACTTCCGTACCTGTGCCTGGCATCATGACCAGCTGGTTGGTCACTTCAGCCAGAGTGTGACGTCTCTTTCCACAGCGGGTTGCTTGGAGAGCCGCGAAGGCCTGTGCAGGGTCATCTTCTGACTCGCCTTCCGTCTCGATCCCCTCGTCGATGGAGGTTTCCATCATGCTGGTGGGCAGCGACTGGCATCCTTTCCTCATCATGATAGGGGGCACGGGATCCAGCAGGCAGCCATTTATCTAAAGGTTGCAAAAAAAGGAGGACAGAGCATTCAATTACCAGTCAGCAGAGCCTCCCTGAAGAGCAAGAAATCTCCGGCTTGGAGTGTGAGCGGGCAGAGGCTCAGAGAGCAGCCAGGCCAGACTCAAGACAGCCTGCATATTAATGCCTCTGTAGCCTGCTGAGTTCAGAGACACATCCCCCTCCAGTGAATCACTGCTTCACCTTATTTCCAAGTCACTGGTGGTGGTGGAGCCTCTGCAGCAGAATGACTGCCATTTGTATAAAGGTGTAATTTTGTTGGGATTTTTTTTTTTTTTTTTTTATAACTCAGAAAATCTGCTCCAGGTTCAGCCGCAAAATATTTATACTGGGGGAATGTTCAACATTTGACTGTTTTCTCAGTTTGCCCATTGTTTATCTTGGAGTGCAATAAACAAGCAGACGAAACTGTCTCGCCGCACCGGGCGCTGCAGTGTCCCTACAAAGCTGCGTCGCAGCGTGTTCTGCTGTGGGTGTTTCACGCCCTTCCCTCGTTTCTGCTCGGACGGGGCCCTTCGCTTCAAGGGCCCACGTGGCTTAGCTTTTGTGTCTGCTGATGTGCAGATGCCTGAAGCTTAACTGGGTTGAATAATGAGGATGAACAGCATCAATGTGTTCACAATGGGTCTACGTTTTGGTTCTGTAATTGGGAATGGTAAAAGAAATAGCAATGAGCTACTAACTGGAGCCTGGGCTGATTCACAGTTGGGTCTTTAGAGTGCTTTTTAATACTGTATAAAGGGCCCTAGGAGCTACTGGCACGGTGTCTCTCTCTCTCTTCTGGCAGG